CACAGTTTAAGATATTAAAGCAAACGTCATGTGTAATGAAATACGCTCACTTACAACTTTCGGTACACTTTTACGCCAAAGACTGCTCTAGAACAAGCAATTTCTCTGTTTAGTAAAAACGCTCCTCAGTTCATCATTATTTGGTCACGTTACCATACATTGTACATCATTGATTGAAAGCCTTTTAATGGCCGTTACATCTCGACACCGTGACCACGACCGCCAGGTATAAGCGAATCGATAATTGCACTTGTCTTGGCCTTGATCGCCGCGTGACTTACAGAATGGCAATATTTGAACGACGTTATTATGACACCATGGATGTCTGGGTGGCCCTGAAATAGTCTCCCGAAAAAGTCCGCACATCTTCGTGGGCGTGCGACTCAAAAACTAGCTAGGGCGGTTTGGGCCCTCAGCAGGGTAGGGCTGTGAACCGCACATGATGACCTTAAAGATGGCTATTCCAGTTCAAAACCTCGTACACGTGTGGAGCACTTCCTTTGAGGAAAATAGTATTACGGAAACATGTATAAGACAATGAAAGATTACCTTTTGTTACCAGACACAAATATTGCCACGGAATATCGCACAAATAGTCGCCACCGCCAAAACACAGGCAAACGTGACCAGGTTTACGCGGACGCGCGCGCAGCCCATAAGACTTGGTACATATGATGGTGTGCGTCCACATCATCACCGCCCTTGAGTGGTCGTGGCTACATGAAATATGCTCAATCTCAAGCAATAAAGTAAAGTAAAGTAAGCAAATGTGCTCCAGTAAATACAATTATTGGAGCACAATAGCACTCGCCCAAACTGATTGCTCAAACGCCCACGTAAATATGCTCAAGAAAATACCATTATTGGAGCACAATGGCACTCGTATGAAACGCACCAAAATTTTTAAGTCGTGCAGTTAACGTGAGTCCGGTTAAAAAGAACGGGACAAAAAATACATGTCGTGCTCTGCACCCCCGTTTGGATATCTATGATTCCATCCACGTGCCACTTTGGCGTCAAACATAGCAAAGCACATACACGTCTTAAGATCGCAACACACATAGCTCGACACACCGCGACTATGCAAGCAGATAGGGCCAAGGCGCTGTCGGCCCCGCGCACAGGTAAAGACCGAGCACAGCCGGCCCCACAGAGATGAAGAGACCCAACACGGCGGAACGCAGATACACGATCAAACAAGACGCATCTAGCGCCAAAAGTGTAGCAGCCAACAGACTAGCCACGCTCGCGACCCACTCGCACCACCGGCGGCAGCACGACCACGAGGTGCGAGGTCGTATAAGATCAAAGCTGATTGCAGTGGCTCGCCGCGTAAGTGGCCGCGTGTGTCATACCCATTTAAGTCTATACAGCCGGCTCGCTGGTCACATACATCTGCCACTGACTGTTATGGGTATGAAGACAGTCCGATGTTCCTGCCGCCCAATTGCGAATAAGTATCATGTGCATGTCTTCACCAAGCAAGTCTGCATTTTAATGGCTTGCCACATAGGTTTGCGGTGCAGATCATTGTAGTCGCCATAAAATTATACCCAATCGGTTCACTGGACAGCAGAACCTTCTACTAACAGCCTTGTCATTGTCTGTACGAACATTCGACGTTCTGGTTGCCCCTCAGCATTACGTTCGACATCTTGCAGCCCGCAGTGCCTTGAAGTCTCGGCACCAGTGACGTCACGCTAACGTCAGGCAAATATGAGACATGAATCACCAGACGGTTTTACCTCTCTCGTATATCCTCGTGCTTCGACATCTTCCAAACTGCACAATCCTCAGATCATCAGTAGACAGCCATGCTACATCTATTACCCTGTTTACATGGGCAGCTGTGATTCGAATTGAGCCGGGACCCGTCCTCGATCCGAACTATCCGGCCCATGTATACACTCACGCGCCGTTCCGCTGATTCGAATCGTGCGCCGGAGGAAATCCCTTCCCGTGAGAGGATCATCCGTTCAGGAAGGGATTTCGTCCGAATTATCGGCCGTCAGCTGTCTAAACAAAAAAAAAAGAAAAATGCCTGGCGCACGCAGTTCTGTTCATGGCCATTTCAGCTTTGTTTGGTGTTGCCGCTCTTCCACGGGTTTTTAGCTATTGCTCGAGACGGTTCAAGTCCAAGATGGTAAAGGAAAAGAGAAAGAAGGTGAAGTTGACACCATGCTGCTAAAACTACTCTTATTATTGAGGGCCTTGAGTGGCTAGCAGCACAGAAATGCTCACGTAATTTAGCCTTGCTAGGCGCGTGATCTATGCAGACAGCAGGCGTCGGCGGTGTTTGGTGTTATCTTTCCGCCTAAAGGTTAGATTAATTTACATCTGGGGCAGGCTCCATGCTTCCAAAAGCCAGATGGAGGTAATCTGGTCATTTTATATAGCTTTGACTTGTTCTCACTTTAATTTTTGGATTGCTCAAAATTCTTGCAGAGAATGCCTCAAAGTTTCTTTCATTAAGTTAATACCTCAAGGCCCCAGGAGTGTTTTTGCAGATGTTCCTTAAATTAGGATGCTGGTTGCTTGTCAGTTAAATTTGTGAGAGAAAGGTAGCTTAAAAATTGCTGCATGATATGACGGATGAACAAATATAGATCATTGCAGTCAGCTCGGAATGTGAACTTTTTTGATGGTAGGACCGAAATTGCCCAATGACGGGGTCAGAACAGCAAGAAAGCAAATGTGAACACTGGCTGAAAATAGTTGTCATCATTACTCTGCTAAATCCAAGTTTGTGTGTTCCATGTGCAGGAAAACAGTGCATAAACTAACACCTAACACGATGGCACATGCTGCATGGAGAACACGTCTGTGTTGCATATCATCACCTGTTTTTGTACTGGTGATTAAATATGTCACCATGGTGCTTTTTTGTGATGGGTGTCTTTGCGGGCCATGAGGTAGGTACTTCAACTGTTCAACAATTCTTGCAGGGAGTACCAATAGTTTCTTTCATTAAGTGAATACATAAATGCCCCAGGATTGATTTTGTAGACATTTCTCCTGTGACTTGAACATTTGGTTGACCACCTATTGGCAGGAGGGATGTGCTGGATATTGGTGACTGGCTCGTCAAGGAAATATGAAGTTACATCACACTGGTAGACCAAATGGCAAGGGAGCGGGGGCTGGAATATTTGTTTTTCATGTGATTAGGCTGTTTGTTGCTTGTCGGTTTAATGTGTGTGAGATAGGTAACTCAATAATTCCTGCATGATGCAAAGGATCAACAAATATAGGCAATAGATCATTGCAGTTAGTGCAGAATGTGAACTATTTTTAATGATGGGACCAAAATTGCCCAGTGATGGTTCCAAAATGTCAAGAAAGCAAATGTGAGCACTGGATGAAAATAGCTGTCATCAGTACTCTGTCAAATCCAGGTTTGTGCATTTCATGTGGAAGAAAACAGTGCATAAACTAAGTAAACCTAACATAATGCCACATGATGTGCAGAGAACATCTGTGGTGCACATCATTACCTGTTTTTGTACTGGTGAGTAAATATGTTACCTTGGTGCTTTTCTGTGACATGTATCTTTGCAAACCATGAGCTGGATAATTGAGCTGTTGTTATAATTAATCATTTGTTATGAATTTTGAGCCCAGATTGCTTTTGTCATGACAGCTCTGGGGCTGGTTCACATGTTATGATCTTTGGACTGTGCGAACACAGCTGTTTGTGCCACCTAGCCATCAGTCAATATCAGCCAATGCTGTTGACTGCAAGGATATCAAAGCAGTATTTCAACCCTATTATGTCAAGAAAGCAAATAGCTGCATTCTGACTTGCCAGTCCATGCCAAGTCTAAATGGCAATGCTGCCCTCAGGTACTGATGATGCATTGGATGGGAAAAGACAACATAGTTACACAATTTTTGCCACTGACTATGTAGCATTCATGAGTCATTTCTGTAGCTTAGCTCACTGTTGCAGGCTGCTCATAAATGCATTAGTGTGAGAGTAGGTAATGTGTTTCTTGGGCTGCGCAAAGTAGATGACATGATGCTGGGTGGCATACTGATATGAGTGTGGTAAGTTTGTGAGTGTCATTGGCCAATACAAGAAAATACTGATTTCCTGCTAGCCAAAGTTTCCTGCTAGTAAAAATTTGCATATAACACTGCTTATGTGACAGATTTGGCAGTGCTGACTGCGCAACTCTTGTGTTTCAAGTGTTATGGCTTTTGCTGTAGCTATAAAGCCTATGAGTCCCGCACATATCATTTTTCCAACGGAGTCCATCTTCCTCCTCGCCCTCAAAGCTGTCTCGCGCCCACCATGGCTCGTGACATTCGCCATCCATACGCAGAGTACCTGCTTTTTTCTTCTTGTTTTGTTCAGTTCGCCTCAAAAGCGCAGTTTTCGCCCATAATCCGTTCCTTGATTCGAACTAAGCGGGATCGAACTATCGACCGTTAATCCGACGTAAAGCCGGTTTCGCCCATGTAAACGCCCCTCGCCGAGAGGGTTAACGTCGCATGATCCGTTCCGATCTTAATTCGAATTATCCTCGGCTGCCCATGTAAACCGGGTATATGTCTCTGTCCATGCATGCTGGGTGGGTGGTGGGTGTGGGATGAAATATCCCACACTGTCAGCACAAAATTATATGGCAGGTAGAGCAAACAGAAGGTGTATTAGTAAATGCCTGGTAGAGGTACTGATAACAAGCTTCTATGCTAACACACTAGCTCTACCCACTCAACCTGTTTCGAGAATATGGTCATCTACAACAGCGATACCAAAATATAAAGGCATTACTGGGGATAAGGCCTGCACTGGCATCACCCAAAATATTACATTCCAGAGTAATGGTAGGTGACATGCTCCAGGGGCTGGGCATGGATTCTAGCACTTCTGGCTCTTGACATGGATTCCAGCCCTTCTGACACTTGTCATGGATTGTATTGATTCTAGCACTTGCCAAAGGCATGCAGTCTATCAATTTCTTAACATCAAATAAGGGTATAAGCGTGCTGCCCACCTGCCGGGTCCTCCATCCTGGTTCATCTGTTGCTGCACAGAAATTCAGCACATGTGCGAACAACACAACATAATATCGCTGCATGTTGGGTGCCCACAGTGAATCCTGATATCACGCAACCATACACCAAGCCGTCTCCCACACACTCAAGCCTCGCACACCCCGCGCAGACCCAAAACAAACTCCACGCGCGGGCGTCGCCTTGAGCAAGGTAGCAAGGTCATGAAGCTGTGGAGTCATTCGGGGATTTGGCCGATTTGGGTGACGGCTCGTGACGTCATAGGGTCCTTGAGTCCAATGGGCCTATGCTGTAGTAGTACTTACCACGTGGTTTAAAAAAAAAATCGTACAATAAATTTATTCAGCCGGTTTCTATTATTGCATTACCATACAAGAAATTGCTTCATTTCCGTCTTAACCTGAATGCCATTATTTGCTCACGGGTCAAATTCTTGTGTTGTTTCACGTGTCAAAATTTGCTTGCATAGACCACGGAGCGATTTTCGAGATCCGCGACGGTCAGGGGTAGATCCAGGATTTCGTCAAGGTCAAGGGGAGGGGGGCACGCAATATTGTGGGGCTCTCTGGATTTTGGGGCCCCCTCCAAAAATATCCTCGCGTGTCATTGGGGCTTTACGACGCACTCAGCTGCTGAAGCTATATGGCGTCGGCTGCCTCTCACTCTGGCAGGAAGGGCGGGCACCGCGGGGAATCGAACCAGGTACCCCCGGTTTCCCAGACGCGCAGTGGCTAACGCAGATGCGTTGACCACTACACTACCGGCACCCATAAAAAATCCTTGCATTTCGGTCAGCACATTTTAAGACTAGTGGCATGCAATATATACACACATGTATATATATATATATATATATATATATATATATATATATATATATATACATTCTCACTTGTTTTATACAGACCATTTTAAATGCTGTGATGCTGGGGACAAGTGTTTCGGACCGACAGGCAAAAAAAAAACTTTAGTCGGCTGCTAACAACCATCAAAACCAAGTATGGACTCGATTCCTAGCTTATGTATTTACGGCTAGCCGGCTGGGTGATGTTATCACCTGATGGATGATGACCAATGCACAATTTTTCCCTTGTTATAAAGGGGTGAAACGTACCCTAGCATTCAAAATATGCTAAGAACATGATGCACTAGTATGATAAATGTCACACACTCACTAGCCAATGGAAATGACATACACGACGCCGGCGGCATGTAAAATTACCTTCGGCGATTGCGCGTAAAAATTCACCGGCGCATATTCGACTCCTGGCTTAAGGCAAAGACACCAAGGCCAAAAAGGACGCAACCTGAGCGATCACTGCGCCGCAGGAGGCCAACAAAGTGGCTCTCGTCAACAAGTATAAGGTCCCCAGAGCAAGCAGAAGGAACCCAAGACCAACGTGGTGGGGCCCTAAGCGATTGGTAGTGCCGCAACAGGCTGAGATATAAAGCCCCGGCCATAGCACAGGAGCCTCCGAGCAAAGGGAAATCATCCAAGACAATAAATTAATACCCCTGTGCAATCAAGAGTGCACGGGCAGGTTAACAACACGAGCCTCGATAGGCGTGAAGAGTCCTTCGCGAATGAGACCAAAGGGAGAGAGCCCTCGATCGAAGTAGAGGGCCCCTGGACATCGAGTGTCTTCGTGCCTTACCTTATAAGAGCCCTAGCAGCAGCATAAGGCCCTCCAAGGCCCTACGAGAAAATGCAAAGAGATCAATGGCAACGTGGAAAGTCCCTTAGCGATCAGACTGACCCGGCAAGTGGACATATGGACTAGGCAACTAACAGCGTCACGCCTCTAAACAGGGTAATGAGCCCCCAAATTTTCCCCAAGCAACACTTTCCCAACCATCGAAATATGAGCTTTGCTTGCTCAAGAACTCTTGACTTTTCCAACAATGGTTCTTGGTCGTCTGTAGGCCCAATGGCACCCAATTTTGCTGTGCTTGGTTGCAAGAAAGCTGTGTCCGTCTGGCCGGTTATGTCCCCTTCGAAGCCTTTAGGTCACTCCGGCATGGCCCATGGGGCATGGTCCCGTGCCCTTGCTCCCCCCCCCCCCCCTCCCCCACCATTTGCATCCGCCAACGGCCCGAGCAGCTGAATAGATGGGGCCGCCAAGAACATGGGCCATCCATTCAAAAAGTACTCATGGCACAACGTGTAGGGCTCTGAACGATCCAGCGCGTCAGAGCAGGTTAATACATAGGGCCCCCATCAAGGGCGTAGGGCCCTCCATTCAGGTGGGAAGTACTCAATACCCAATGTAGAGGGCTATCGAATGATTAAGTGTGCCCGAGCAGGTTAACAGATAAGGTTCATCAAAAGAGCGTAGGGCCCTCCATTCAAATAGGAAGTACTCAAGACCTAATGCGGAGGACCCCCGAATGATCCAGTGCGTCAGAGCAGGTTTACGTTAAGGGCCCCCATCAAAAGCGTAAAGCCCTCCACTCAGATAGGAAGTACCCAAGACCCAATGTAAGGGGTCCCCGAACAATCGAGTGTGCCCAAGCAGGGTAACAAATAGGGCTCCCAAGAAGAGCGTAGGGCCCTCCACTCGAATGGGAAGCACCGAAGACCCTTTGAAAATGGCCCCAGCTTATTAGAAGGGGCCCGACAAAAGTGAAGGGTCCTCCATTGAAACAAGAAGAACCCAAAACCAGCGCGGAGTGCTCCCGAAAGACGGAGTATACCCGAGCAAATTATCAGGTGGCCCAGGCAGGAGTGTAGGGCCCTAAATTCAAACACCAAGATCCAACATAAAGGACCCTGAACAATCCAGTGTGGGCGAAGCAGGGAACATATGGGGTTCCCGACAAGTGCGTGGGGTCCTCCATTCAGGTAGGAAGTATCCAAGATACAATGCGGAGGGCCCCCGAATATTCAGGTGTGCCCGAGCAGGTTAACAGGTGGGGCCCCGGCAACAGCGTAGAATCTTCCATTCATATATGAAATACCCTCGACAGGATGAACCCGAATAATCGGGTGCGCCAGAGCAGGTTAACAGATAGGGCCCCCGAAGAGCGCGGAGGGCCCTCCATTCAAAAGGAAGTACCCGAAACCAGATTAAAAGGTCTCCCACGATCGAATGGGCTCGATCATCTTATCAGAAGGGGCCTCAACGGGAGCGTGAGGCCCTCCATTCAAATAAGAAGTACCCAAAACCCAGTGCGAAGGGTCCCCGAAAGATGGAGTGCGCCCGAACAGGCTATCAGATGAACCTGATAGGAGCAGAGGGCCCTAAATTCAAACACCAAGAACCGATGTGCAGGGCACCCGAGCAATCCACTGTGGCCGATGAGGCGGACAGAGGGGGCCCACGACAAGTGCGTAGGGCCCCATTCAAATAGCACGTGCCCAAGGGCCAATGTGTAGGGCCCCCGAAAGATCGGATGTGCCAGAGCAGGTTATCAGATAGGCCCCCACAATAGCGTAGGGCCCCATTCGGAAAGGAAGTACCCAAGACCCAGTGCTGAGGGTCCCCGAACGGCTGAGCGTGCCAAAGCAGGCCATCAGATGGACCCCCGACAAGAGTGTAGGGCTCTAAGCAAGTGACAGAGAGTTGGAAACGCCCTAAACCAATGTAGGGGGCCCATGAGCACATCGCAAATGTGTCGGTAAGTTAACTGAGGCCCACGTAAAGGCTCCCTGAGCAACCAAGAATACCCCGGAAGTTTACGATATGGGGCCACGGCTATAGCTCACAGAGCCTATCTGGCAAATGAAAAGAATCCGTGGAAGGGCCCGTGATTGACAAGAGTGCCTCGGCACGCTCACAGAAAGGGCCCACCAAGCAAATGCAAAGAGATGGAAGGCATCGTGGAATGTTCCTTAACGATCGAAATGATCCTGCAAGTGGCATATAGGTCCCCCAAAACAGCGTGGGACCCCTAGACAGCGTAATGAGACTAAACATTTCCAGTTCACAACTCTTCCAATTATTGAATAATTGTTTTGACTTCTCACAAGCCCTTCCTTCACTTTCGCCCACAGCTGTTATTGGTCGCCTGGAAGTTCAGATGCCCAGGTTTGTTGCGTTTCGTGTTAACGCAACAAAAAAAGACACTGCACCTGTTCGGCCGGTATGGGCCCCCTCGGAACCAGTGGGCCCCTTCGGGGCCCAAGGGGATCCATGGCCCCGTGGGCCCCCTCTGGATCCGCCCCTGGCGACGGTGATGCTGGACAGCGTCGCGCTGCGCAACGATGTCGCACCTGCAATCTAAAGTCTGTGTGTTTGAATCCCAGGGACGGATGGATCTGCTCGCGTTAATGCTTGCATTCTGGCTTTGGAAAGCACGGTTGTTTAAAAAGTTCACCGTGGCTTTACCAGCATTTGATTTACATTAGTAAGCCACATATTAGGCCTTAAGCCATTTTGTTACTTTGAAATCGGCTGTTCTCAGGCGTGATGAAACCCAGGACACTTTCCGAGGTAAACCGTTAGCTGTGTCGAGACTTGCCAGGACATGTCTTGTAACATTTAAGTGGTTCATCGGGTTTCGAGGGTGACTGAAACCGGGTGAGCCGCGGGAGAATTTCGTAAATTGTTAATTGCGTTTGCAAGGAACACTATGCATGCATCTACACAGTAGCAAAAGCGTTATTCCTCGTAGAGAAACCAGGAGGATTGAAACATAGATGCGTTCATATTTCTGCAACCTGCATTTATCGAAACAAATAGCAGAGGTAAATTCAAAATTGCATGCGTATGATGCCCCCCGATTTTTCCTTTTCTAGAGCAACGCGCCACAGCTTTTATAGATCACAGCTTTATGACCTGTTAACAGGTCACAAAACAGGTCAGATTAGATCGGGTCAGGTCAAAACCATCAGGCGAATCAGGTTTTACAAGTCACAGGTTTTGTAGCTCATCTGTTAACAGGTCACAAGACAGTGAGGTCAGATCAGGTCGGGTCAAAACCGTCGGGAGAATCAGGTTTTACCGGTCAGTTTTGTGACTTGTAAAAACTGTGGCTCGCTGTTTCCATAGAAGTGAAAAGTCGAGTAGGATCATCGCCAAGCAATTTTGAATTTACTCCTACTTTTCGTTTCGATGAAGGCATCGTGCTGAAATATCGACGCATCTATATCTTCATCCTCCTGGTTTTCTACGAGGAACGGGGCTGTTACTACTGCCCTAGCTGTAGGATTTCATCGGCATGCAAATACGCGGGAGCGATGCGTATGCTACACGTGTTTTGGCCAGGACAGATTTGGTCACACAGTCAGCTACAAGTCACGAAGGAGACTCGTACGGACTATTCGGTCGCCTAATCACCATCAGCGATACTGGAGTATACTCTTCACGCAGCCGCAGCAAGGGCCGCACACCAGCCTGGCCATTCGAGTCGGCCGGGTGTGACGTGGACAGCCTTACTTGAAGCGAAATCGACGGCATACCTGGACCAAGGTGCCCAGATTTCCGCAAGTTGATTTGTTCCAGCTTCTCATTACAAATGTTCTCATTCATTCCTGAGTCCCCGGGGTACCCCATACGGGTTCGTTCGTTAAACTGGCAACACATTAAATTTGTAGTGAGATCGAATGCACCGCACGAAGAAGATAATCCAAACAATCATTTCGCCTGTGATAGGAGCTTCTGCGTCAGCAGACCAACTTTAATAGCAAACCTGAGTGTTTCTCGATCTCACTACATTAAACAACATTTACGTGATTAATAATTGCAGAAAAATAGATGATTGCATTTAATTTGTGTAAGAAAGTTTCGATCGTTTTCATTTTTTATCGCTCCCTGAGAAATAGTTCGACTTTGTATGTAGAAACCCTAATATTAACCCTACAAAGTGTCAGAAGGGGGGGGGGGAACCCCCAGCCAAAGTTGAGAGAGAAGTGCCGATCCCGTCCGCTCCGCCTCTGTTCTCGCGCTTATGTCAAAGAGCAAGACACCGACACGAGGCCGCCATTCTCACCAGAAGAACCCGTAACTGTCACCCAGCGATAGGTTTCATTATTACCTCAACATAATGAAAGAGCAGCACTTACAAAGAAATGCGCAATATTTTCCAAAATAGCAGGACTTTTCGATTAAGTTCGCAGCGAGGAACCCTGCCGACAGGATGACTCTCATTCCTCAGATAGTTCGGCTTATCAGACAACGCTGGTAGTCGGCTTCAGATTGCTTGAACGAAACCACAGGTATGTTTTTGCAGCTGGGTACACCATGAGCATTCCCAACTGGCAGTGTGTCGCGTACAGCGCGCTGCCGCAGATCGTTTTCGACGTGGGCGGGACTCCGCCGGCGCCTGAAACCACTGGTGACGCGGCCAGCTGGTGCAGAGGACTGGAGGCCAGTAACGTGTTGTTTGGATGATCATTTCTGGCCTTTCGACCAGAAATGATCACTTCGGGGCTATGGGATGAAGGAAAATGGTAAACGTTGGGGCAGACCCGCATGCGCCAATCGCCGAACTTTAACCCGCGCATATGCGCTGGGTACCCGGTTGGGGCCCCCTTCCTACGGCGCTCTCGGCCCACCCGTGGCTGACGCGTACAGCCCGCCCCGGGCAATCGGAGTATCGCGAGGATGCAGTATGAAGCAAGATAGATAATGACGGGGACGGATGGAGAGAGGCCAGTGACGGGAACGTTCTATACATATAGGCGATGGCAGCCTTCAGCCTGCAACGGGCCGTCGCCAGACAATCACATTGCCATGGAGAATCCCGTCAACTCGGGCTCTACCTTTGCTGATGGTAAGAGAACTCGCAGCCTAGTGGCGCTCGCCGCAGTCAAAGCAAAGTGTTGTTTTGTGTCAGCGTCGGTAGCCGCGGCAGCGGGAGCAACAGTGACGTTTTCGTCGCCTCCGAACTAGCCGAGCTTTTAAACCGGCGGAAAGGTTATAACACAGGTAGCAGATTGGTCGGCGGATCGAACGATCGGCAGAGTGGTCACTGGAGAGTGATTGAGGGCGGGCAGAGCGTGGGGACATCTTTCCCCACTCGGCTGGTCAACAGACGCTGCCATCTTGCAGAGGCAATATTGACCATATGCGTTCCAACCATGTTTCCACCAGACGCACCTCCCCGGGCGTGACGCCGGCTCGCTGGCTCCGCACACCATAGTCTGTAGAGCCCGATAGTCCTCCGCTATACGCCAAATGGACATCAGTTGTGCTGCGCTGGCAGCATACATTCTCTGGCCGTTAATGTGATGTATTACGAGTTCTTGGCACCGCTCTCTGGACGGGTAACACCATGGACGCACGGCATGCCATGCCTTCACTGGCAGATACTTCAGGTCGCTTGACTGACATATAACACAAACAAACGCTTATTTGACACCACGCACGACACAATTTTTTCGACTCATCAGCCAGCGACTGAGCAAGATCTGCCTGATCGTCTTGACGTGCCAAGTTCGGTGACTGACGGGTGGCAACGCGAAGCTGCAGCCTCCAGTCGTGTCCGACACTGGATATAGCGAATTAATATATCTAGGATACAGTGATCGTAGGTGAGAACGTAAAGGTCCACACTGCGGACGTGTGCCTGACGACATGAAATCTCACAAAGTGACACCGAATACAAGGAATACGAAAAGTGGCGGGTAGTGCAGAACAATAACACAAAAGGACAAAAAGCGCAGACATGGACGCACGGGTAACTAATACCCCCCCCCCCCCCCTCCCCTCTCTCTTCATGAAACCACTACGATACAAAGCGCTTCAACACCGGCCCGCTGATCACACGACCTGTGAAAACACGCACTGTCGAGTTACACCCTACATCACACACGGCCACGCTCCACGTCACGGATGGCCGCCAGTTCCAAGCAGCGTTCATATCAAAGCATGTAAAATCCCCGTGACTACGCAATGCATTCATTTTCATGGGGCAGAATCTAAAGGGGCGCGAGAAATGGGACCGTTTCGGGTAAGGCCGCCAGCCTTGCTCAGGGGGAAGGATGCTTTCTACCACAACGGCCTGGCCAGACCTTCACATCTTGTCTTCAATTTTTATCATTGCAATACAAGTCCACAACACCGATTAACAACGGGCACCGATGTGGACAACCTGACGCCGGAGCGATGCAAGACTTGCACCGCTGGCAGCACAGCCGTCGCGCGCTGGTATTGGCGACACTGGGTCGGTGCCGACAGATGACCCATCATGCGTCTGCTTAAAACTGGTGTCGGCCCGAACGCAAGGTGGGGCGCGAGTTGTGTCTCAGTATGCGGTCTGCCACACGGGCAAGGGCATAAACCTTGGACCCGCTTTAAGGATTCACGTCAACTAAACCTGATAGAAATCTGGAACTAGCCGTGCGATATGAGCAAATGCCTTCTAAAAATCGTTCAGCGATTTCCACATTAAACCTCAGGTACTGCTCAGGTACGCCAGCAACCTAGCAGCGAGCGGGCAATACCCCCACTTCGAAACCAGTCTCAAATACAAAAGGCTGCACCTTAAACCGCCCAAGACTGGCTTATGGAAACTGTGTACACAGAAATGTAGTGCAGCTTACTGTGACCAATGTCCGTTCCAACTATCTATGCCGTTCGCAATACGTTGACCAGTAATCGAAAACGCATGACTGGCTCGACCTCGCTAGGCCAGCCGATACCTGCTTTTGAAGCTACTTCCCTGTCACCAGCAGAGAAAACCACCCCTCTTCAGAGTCATGCATTTCCTGACCTTCCTGACATACCAGGTCAAGCCCATGGCCCGTAAATAATGCTGAAGAAACGCGATTTAAAAATTACAGCGAAAACCCGCATTCGTGAACCTATGCCCGCAAAGCTCTCCTGAAAGACGGACATTCCCGGCGTGTCGCCCCGCTTGACCCATGCAGCACGCTCACTTATTTTAAGATGACGATACACTGAGTTGGCAATTAACAGGAAGCGCAACACTGACGTACTGTAAACACGAAAAGCGGTGGGCGCGGTGACTTAGGGACGGGGCAGCTGTTGTAATGGCCGACGACGCTAAGCACTGGCGCGAGACAACACAAAAGCCAGCCGACAGGTTGCTGACCACGGCCAACACGAGCTTAGAACGCACAGTTCACTTACCCATCGCTGCAAAGCATTTTAACATGACAACGGTGTTAGCCGAGTTAGCGAGCGTTGCTGAGACCATTAATGACATCTGTATGCCCTCGTTATGAACCTACGTTTAGACAACCGCCTCGTTTGAGCAGAGTACCTGCCACGGCCGCTCAGGGGGGCTGTTATGGACTCAATAGTTGATCGGTCATCGCGGCCGATGACTTACAAATGGGACATGCGTGCTGCTTCTTACTTAGCCCATGGCCCCCCGTGACCTCCAATCACAACACCTTGACACACAATGATGACCAGAGGAGCAGCGCAGCATGGTGAGGCAAATAGCAGACCACACCCGCGCCCCGTCCGACGAGCCTTCGTCGCGGAGGTTAAGCATATCTGAGCCCCCCCCCCCCCCCCCACCTTAGCCCGAAAACTGCAGCATTCACACATGCCTGTCATTTGTCCGCGAGTATAAAACTCAGACACATGCTTAATAAGATACACGTTTGCCATCCTGCAGTGTATGTCCCCAGCGGTCCAAAAATATGTATGCGATTACCCACGCGGTCACCGGCATCCGAACGGCGCCGATGTCGCGATCGCACCTGCTACCGACCCGCGCCAGTCGTCTCCTGCGGACGGAAGCCCGGCGAGCCCCGTACGTGCCAGCCTCTCCCTGGGCCACACTCGCCCGCCAGACCGCTGCTCGTTTGAGCAGAGTACCTGCCACGGCCGCCCGGGCTGAGCCCGAGCCCCGCAGACGGCGCCGTCCACCAGACCGCTACTCGTTTGAGCAGAGTACCTGCCGCGGCCGCCCGGACTGAGCCCGAGCCGCGCGGACGGCGCCGTCGGCGCCGTCCGGCAGACCGCTGCGGCACCCGGCCTGCCGCAAAGCCGTCACGCCCTTCGACACGCGGCCCCGGGCTAGTGCCACTGAATATCGTCGTCGTCCTGGTCGGCGGCGGCCGCGGCGTGGCGGCCGGGTGGACCGAGCGACAGGCGCGGGCCACCATTCTCCAACAGCTCGTCTACCGAGGGCACGTGGTTGGCGAACTCATAGTCGCGCCGCTCGGGGGGCCTCTGCAGCGGCAGCAGCGGCGTCGAGGGCGGCGACGGCGAGCCGGCCACCGGCGGCGGCGGCTCCAGAGGCGGCGCCTGGTCGGGTGCGAGCAGCAGCTCCACCAACTGGCGGCCATCGGCCGAGTGGCGCAGGCGACGCGCCAGCTGCGCCGCGTTCCAGCGGCGTCGGCCGAGCCGCGGCGCGCCGCGCACAGCACACACCAGCCGGTCCAGCTGGTCGGGCAGTCGGCAGCGGACGGCACCGGGCAGGTCGGGCAGCGCCGGGCAGTTCTCGCCACCTGCGTACCCCACCGCTACCTGCCGCGGCACGGCAGGGGACAGTCAGTCGACCGACACCGACAGGGCAGGTCAGGGGACCAGTCAGCGGGAACCAAACAGCGAGTCGGCTAAAGACGACACGATCCGCATCGGTGGGGTACATCGTCAGCGGTGCGCAGTCAGCCAGGTGACAGACGAGCTTCCTCTGAGGCACCGCGACGCCGGTACAGTGTCGGCCGCGCCGTCCGAGGCAGCATGGTACGGCGGCGGCTATCCCTGGCCACAACGACAACGACGCAGCCCAAAGGGTTCGGGTAGCTCACTGCAGTGCAAAATGTCTTGGTCCATCGACAGAATACAAAACGCAAAGAAATTATGCGGACATTAATTGGCCATCCTGTTTATTCACTGCAAATTTTGCAAACGTTTTTAAGCTGCTTTCTTGGTATACTCAGCCTTGGAGCCATCATTCCTGTATCGCTAGACACCCGTGGCACCAATTTACCCGACCCAGCCCTCAAGATGAAAACCTATGTCCTCTTAGATTGTTTTACCAGCTGGTGGACACGGGCGTGGCGTGGATAGGCGTGGCGTCATGCGTTAAGTATATGTATATTATTCCTTCATAGCTATTCATGGATCGCCACAGTGGAAGCTAGAGTGAAGGCCAATGCCACTGTTCAACTCAAAATTGAGATGCATAACAATCCTGTGAAAATTGCTTAGGTCCGTACCCAGCCCATGCCTGCCTCTGTGACTTCGCCCACGGCAACTTCTGTAGATGTCTAGGATTTTTCTAGTTTTCAAATGAGCTCAAAACCTGTGCAGCAGACGTGCAGTACCTATTAAACCATTTCAACTGCATGAAAATCGGACCACATCCGCCAGCAACAGTGAATGATTACAAATACCTGCGGAATGCTTACCTCAACCCCTCTCCTCGTACTCGCCTCCACTTTGAAATTATTACGATTTTTGTCCCCCAAGTGTGGTCTATGCTATACCAAATCATTCGTTGTTATCCGAGGAAATTTGGACATGATTCTTTAGATAGCAGCGGACGCTTTTCCCCTTCTCTGCAGGTTGCCGTACCGTATAATGCACCGAATAGGTAAACATCCACGAGAAAATGACATCAGAAATCCGCCAAGATTGTGGTGAAAAAGCCAACATTTCACACAGAACCCGCCAGCCGGTTAACCTCCATGGTGGCTGATGGCCGTCGGCCCTTCACCCACTCCGGAGTGATCAACCATATGATCCACGCTCTGGCCACCCCCGACTTCTTTAAGCTAAACTTGTGAACATGTGGCCATGCCAAATCATGCTAAGCATGTGACCATGCAAACGAGCTTCTGTTCACAGAAAACCGGGAAAGTCACCCGCGCTGAGTGCCCCGGTAATGGCGGCGTCTGATGTGTAATGATGACTCGCCATGTGCCGCAGACAGCAACGTGTCACAATTATGCACTTCAACCAATCATGTCTCAGTCCGTTTACAAATACAAGCTAAATCAGGGGAAAAATGCTCGCAAGATTTCTTTCGGTTTAGTTTGGTCTTGGCTAGCAGTTTTTCAGCTAGCAATGCTCATCCCGGAACTGTGGAATGGAAGAGGATGGAGGGTGATAGGGGACGACAACATGCATATGGGAGTCCTGGGCTACTGAAGCTCAACCGGCGCCAGACCTCCCACTTCGGGGATTGAGGTGGAGCTCCCGCCAGGGGGAGGGGGGGGGGGGGGGGGGGCACTGAAGCCTGCTCAAGGCTGGTGCATGCAGCTTGCCCCAGAGAGAACAGGTGCTGTGGGCATGCAGAATGAGGCGTGACTGGGGAGAAAACGCGGCGCATGGGATCTACACCCTTCACGACTGAGTAGCATCTATCGTGAGCCAGAGGCCCAGCAGCAAAACAACAGTCAGCTACCAATCCAGCCTCGTCTGTACCAGGCAAGTAGGCTGTTGACACGCTGCCGCAAAAGGCGGATGACTATCAAACCCGCACACCACGCCAACCAGCATGCCACTCGGCCGGTGGGAGCGCCGCGTACCGTCTTCCTGCCGGCGTCCATCTTGAGGTGGTGAAGCGCCATCGAGAAGAGGCGAGGGTAGATGGGCGGCGCCGTCGTATCGGGGAACACCAGCACCAACACATGCCGACAGCGCTTCAGCTCCGTTGTCAGCCACTCAGCCGGGTCCTGAGGTGGGACGGTCGTCAGCCACCCACAGACACCGCTCCCAGAGTCGACTGTGTCGGGACGGCGGTGGGAACAGACGGCTCGGGCAGCGGGGAAACTCGCTAGGCCAAGCACCGCCTCATGGATCTAGCCACGAACTGGCACAGCTTTTATACATTAAAGCCGTGTACCGCCCGCTTCGTGACTTTTTAAAGCGTGTTTGGGCGTCGGCAGCCACGGGTGCACCGAAGGACGCGGCCTACAAAGACTATTTATCGGCTTTCGATGCCGCCAGCCACGAAATCCGCCACATAACACGGAACACCCATGTAACGTGACAGCCCGCACTCAGGGGTTCAATGCCTACCGGACTGTCTTATTCCCTGGAGTAAGCATCCTCATACAATAATGAGGACCTTCCTCAAAAATTTATCCATCTTACGCAATCTACTCTCGTGCACATCTTCACGTCCCTCTCTTACAAACCCGGATCCGCCCTATTACAGGCACAGTCTACCTCCGGCGTCGTAGGCATGCACCGATTGTGCAACAAGCTGTGGCTTGCTGTATTTATATATGCCATGTAGACGTTATGCATTATGAGTGCGTATATGTGTTTGGGTGCGCGTATTGGTATGGGCTATAGCGACATCACCCTTCCGCCCAGCTGCCTGCGCGGACATTCCACCAGTCGTTGGCCCGCCGCTATGAGACATCCGGCAATACCAGCAGCTGATACATATGACCGGAAGCTCCAATGGATCGAGCCAAACTGGGAAATCAAGACTAAGGAAGGAACAATAATGATCAGTATCATCGTACACAATACAATGGGCAAAGCAAGTTCATCGGTCTTCTCCATTCGGGTGGCCCGGAGAAGTGGGCGGAAGCTAAAGCTCGGCTTGACCCCCCCCCCTCATGCCCCGCGGGTAACTGTACGTGTCACGCCTACCAGGCGGATTACCGCACGTCCTGTGCCAACTCGATACAATGAACATCTCCACGACTTGAAAAACAAAGCTTTTGGAACCCCACTCGGGGCCACATTTGACAAAAGTCAAACGTAATTCATTTCACCCGAAAATCCACTCTGGAAATTTTCGCATTTGCGAAGATATGGCTGCACTAAAAATTGCCAAATGAATGCCATTCATCACCACAAACCATACCTAAGCGGACGTGTTCCATCGTGACAGCTTGCGCCATCCTCAGCATAGTGTCCACCCTTCGCACTGTATTCGTCTCCAAGGCCATCTGCCTCGTGTCGGTCAACTGCTTAGCGTGGAGCCATCACATGCCATGTCCACGTTCGTTTATCGCTTCTGTATCGTGGCTTAGTATTGTTCAGAGCCCAAGCTTCTTTTCAATGAAATTATTCTGGACCAATTAAAAGTACATGCTCATAATCTGTCAGCTTGTTAAATGTTTTTATTTCGCAAAACTGGCACCGAGAAAGACCCAACGGTGAAATGACCCTCCTGTTTTTGGACCAATGTTGATACACACCATGAAACTTATGTTTATTATCCCTGCTATGGCCCGTGGCTTCCCTCACGGGAGGCAGTTGCGGTGCCGTAGATACGCCAGTGCCATCACATGGCCACCCAGACAGAGGTTCGCAAAACCGGCCCGATCCGCGCATTGACTGCTTTCCATGCTCGTGACCTGACTCTGCCAGGTCCACTGGAACACCAGCTGGCGGGTGAGGAAGGGGGAGCGCGGCAGGGGCGTGGGGATCCTGGGCTCACCATTCCGGCGTCCGCTCGCGGGATGTCGACAATGTCCATCTTTGGCTTCACCAGACAGTACTTTTCCAGGCCGGACGCCAACAGCCGGACCAGATTCGTGTTGCGGTTGTACACCACCAGCACGTCCAGGCATTTGGGTACTGTGCCTGAAACGGCATTTACCAGTCTTCCACTACCAAGTTGCTTTGATCGAGGCATGTCATAGGTACTTCATGATGGAAGAATGCTGAACATATACCTCGCACATTGTTCGGCATATCCTCACAAAAGCATCGCCAGAATTTTTAACACAGCGTTGGCGGATTGCATTATAACACGCACCAGCTGGTACGCGCGAGGCGACCAACGAGCCGCCTCCTATTCGTGAGTAGCAGGGCACACAACCAGAACCGCGGGCGAAGATTTGGGGCGCGCAACCACTGACAGTCATTGCGAGCTAACGGACCCATGTTTTAAAGGGCTTAGTCCCACCGCGCCCGGCTGCTATCGCTAATCTAGAAGCGGTGCAGTGCTTGGCGCTTAACGCAAAGCATTACGCAAATTAAAATGTAGCGAATCTCCCAAAAGCTGACATGTGTCCAGATTACGCCGGCCTGGCCAAGCCCCCTCCAGTAGCCTGACCACACAGCGACTACGTGTATCAGTCACAGCTGCAGCCTCAAACACAACTACGGGGTGCAACCCGATCGTCTCCAGGCAACACCAGCGCGCGAGAACCTACGTTTGCGGAAGTACTTGATCCAGACGACGACGGCGACAACCAGCAGGAGTACGGTGACCAGGATGACCACAGCCACTATGTACAGCGTGTCCGGAGTCGCTGGTGGCAGCCGGGGGGTGCAGGTCAGGCGACGGAGCGCACGGCTGCACAGTGCGACGGTCCGGCCGGCGCGCGGCGGGCACCAGCACATCTCCGACACACACCACCGGGGCAGTGCCAGTCGGAGGGCTCGGCTGCAAAGTCCGGCCCGGCGCGCGGCGGGCACCAACACATCTCCGACACACGCCACCAGAGCAGTGGCAGGAAGGCTCGGCTGCAAGGTCCGGCCCGGCGCGCGGCGGGCACCAGCACATCTCCTCCACACACCACCGGGGCGGTGCCAGTCGGAGAGCTCGGCTGCAGGCACCTGGCCAAATCAACACAATGCTGCTGTTCGCGCTAAGAGCACGACAGCAGGCGAGACGGGAAGCGGACCCGGAGCCGTGTGGCCGCCCACCGTAGTCGATGGCCGCTGACAGGGTGGGCCGGCCGCCCTCGGGCACCACCAGCAGCGAGATGTTGCCACCGACCGACGGCAGCTCGTACTCCACGCGGAAGCTGCCAGCGTCCGTCCCACTCTTCGAACAGTCTTCCTGCCGGCCAGGCACGTGCGGCAATTGACTGACATGCACTACAGGCATCTACTACGCACTACAGAGCCGGTGATGGGCGCGACGCACAGGTATCGACGGTCCGTCTGCAAGCTTGGCTAAAACTTGGAAGCGTCAGGAAACTTGACACTGAATTGAATAATCGAAGATTAAATCTAAATCGTCTACGTGGGTGGTAACTAATCAAATGAATATGCGGTAGATACGTGCTCTGCACATACCATGTCGTTCCTGCAGTGAATGCAGCACGTATGATAGTCAAAACGGTCCGCTGTACTGCAGGGCAACGCTAAAAACGCCAAACGCCAAACACACACACGTGCTTGCAATTTTACGGTTATAGTGCGCCAATGTCCCACAGCCTACCGAGCTAGCAACATCACCTACCAATACTCTAGTCCTGTTCCTGGAGAAGGCTCACACACCAGCATCCGCGGAGCCAAAATGGTATACCGCGAACCTTGGCCATCTATCTCCCAGCTCAACTCCACTGGCCGGTCCGGCCCAGACCTCATGGCGCCCGGTGACACCGCTCCGTTCCTGACCTGACACCGCTCCGGTGCTAACCTGACATCGCTCCCGTCTTGACCTGACACCGCTCCGGTCCTAACCTGACATCGCTCCCGTCCTGACCTGACACCGCTCCGGTCCTAACCTGACGTCGCTCCCGTCCTGACCTGGCCTGACGGCGCCCAGTGACACCGCTCCGTTCCTGACCTGACACCGCTCCAGTCCTAACCTGACATCGCTCCCGTCCTGACCTGGCCTGACGGCGCCCAGTGACACCGCTCCGGTCCTGGCCTGACATCACCCTGACCCTGACATGACAGGGCGTCGCCCCGGGTCGGCGGCGGGCCTCACCTCGCGCTGCAGCTCGGTGCCGACGATGGGCCGGTGCGCCTGGCAGTCGGCCCGCTCGCACAGCACCAGCTGCAGAGAGTAGCGGCGCACGCAGAGCGTCGGCGGCGCCCGCTGCACGCTGAACACCAGCCGGTCCCAGCGGTGCATGTGCACCAGCACCAGCGGCTCCCAGGAGGCGAGCGCCGGCTCCGCTGCGGAGGCGACGACGGTCAGCCGGCCACCAGCTGCCGCTCAGAGAACGGAGTGGGCGGGTATCGCGCGTCACAAACCAAAAAGTCGTGCGGCCACACGGCCTGTCGGAGGAGATGCACGGAGGACAGGTGCTGTCGCAGAAAGGGCGTACACTCTGTGGGAGGGAAGGGTGATGTTGCGCACGTGATCCACTGCACACACGGCGCCTGAGGGCGCACCGTCCGCCATACAGAACCAGAACATGCCAATGGAAAAGGGTCATATAACGCTGCACAGGAGAAAGTGTTGCTGTGATCAGGACACACAGACTGTTACAGAAAAAGCATTCTCGTGATCAGGACATAGTCTGTTACAGCATCAGATGACCAGGACACAGTCTGCCACAGGAAATTGTGTTGCTGTGATCAGAAGAAACAGTCCGTTGCAGGAAAAATCATTGTTGTGATCAGGACAAACAGTCTGTCACAGGATAAATCATTGCTGTGATCAGGACACACAGCCTGTAACAGGATAAATCATTGCTGTGATCAGGACACACTGTCTCACAGGAGAAGACCTTGCTGTGTTTGGGACACAAGATATGTCTGAGGATAGTATCACCGAGCAGAAAGCAGCTTGCCACGAGGAACTGTGGCAAGCTGCAACTGTGGCAACTGAGACAGACTGTCACAGGACACGGCGCCGCCGTCCATCGGACACGTGGTTTTCCAGAACAGAAGGTGCCGTTGCTGGGAGCACAAACGGTCTGTCATAGAGAGGTATTATAGTACAGCGGACACGTGGTCTTCCAGAGGAGAAGGTGCCGTTGCAGGGACCACACACAGTCTGCCAGAGGGAGGTGCTTTGATACAGCAGACACGTGGTCTTCCCGAGCAGGAGGGGCCGCTGCAGGGACAACACAATATCTGCCAGAGGGAGGTGCTATGGTATAGCAGGACACGCTGTCTTTCAGAGCAGAAGGTGTCGCTGCAGGGACGGCACAAGGTCTGCCAGAGGGAGGTGCTGTGGTGCAGCGGACACGCGGCCTCCCAAAGCAGAAGGTGCTGCTGCAGTGCAACCGGTAATTCGGTAGTCTGACAAGGCTGCCAAATCCAGCGAACAGCAAACACCAGCGCTCAGGCCCCGATATCACAGGTCCAGTTGTCGGCGGCATGCCCTCCCCTCCCCCATCCCCTCCCCCCCCCCACACCCCCACATGGTTCGGTCACTCCATTGACATGATGACAGCAGGCTTTGCAAAATAACGCCTTTGCTCTAAAGTATCTATAGCACACCAGTTACGACACACGCTCAGCATCTGGCAACACATGCGGGCCAGAGCTAACATTCCATCGGACCAAGCGCGGCCAAGCAGCGCCCGGCCAACACTCACAGATGTTGTTGAGGAAGGGCAGCCGCAGGCGGTAGTTGACCGTCTGCATGCCGGCGCACAGCTGCAGCTGCACCCGGGTACCCTGGTCCTTGGGCGGGAAGGTCGGACAGTCGTACTGCAGCCGGGCAGGCGAGTGGCCCGCCGCCGCCGGCGACAACCGGAACTCGACACACCTGATGTTGTTGAGGCCCCGCAGCAGCACCAGACCCAGCGCTGCAGGCAGCGGCGGCGCGTGAAGACGGCGGCCCGCGACCCGGCCGGCGCGCCAGCGGGACGCGCGCGCCGGGAGAAACACTCTGCTCCAGCTGCTGCCGTACCCCTAGGCTCGCTTAAGCAACGTGAACACTGTGACAATGGCAGAGGCATTGCCCGTGTTCTGTACATGTCGGCGCACTATGCTACGATTGAAGGAAATGCTTCATTTTTGCGCTGTGTTTGGAACTAACAGGAGGAGATTACGCACTAATATACACACCGATGTATCTATCCTAAGATCTACGACACTGCATGCCGTGAGCCTCAGCACAAATGTCCGTCCAGTACGTAGCTAATCTGGTTAGATCGCCTGCTTTCCTACCAATCCACCAAGTTACAACTTTATTCCGAGCATGGCATAAGTCATGACAAAAAAGACGACGATGCATCGCTTCAGGCAGTTTTGAGGCTGGACTTCACGAGGTCAGCTGCAACATGCTACTGGTCGGTTCAGTTTATGAAGCGGGGTCAATCCGAGTTATTCACGCCATAACCGTGCCATGGCTGTGTCCCTGCTAAAGCTCGTACATGCCTGGCGTCTTACGTGCCAGGTGACCTTATCTGCAATACTAAGCAATGGTGTCGAATCTTTGCTTCCCCAACATTCGTTTACTGTCCATGCAATGACTGCCGCGAGACTGACTTCCAGACCGCCGCGCCCCCCGGCGCCCTCACCTCTCCGGCCGGTGAGACTGACTTCCAGACCGCCGCGCCCCCCCCCCCCCCTCCCCGGCGCCCTCACCTCTCCAGTCGGTGAGATGACTTCCAGACCGCCGCGCCCCTCCGGTCGCCCCCACCTCTCCAAACCGGTGAGATTGACTTCCAGACCGCCGCGCTCCCCGGCGCCCTCACCTCTCCAGCAGTGAGATTGACTTCCAGACCGCCCGGCCCCCCCCGGCGCCCCTCACCTCTCCAGCCAGTGAGATTGACCTTCCAGACCGCCGCGCGCCCCCCACCATCCCCGGCGCCCTCACCTCTCCAGCCGGTGAGATTGACTTCCAAGACCGTCGCGCCCCCCGGCGCCCCCACCTCTCCAGCCAGTTGAGATTGACTTCCAGACCGTCCGCGCCCCCCGGCGCCCTCCCCTCTCCAGACAGTGAGATATTGACTTCCCAGGACCGCCGCGCTCCCCGGCGCCCCATCACCTCTCCAGGCTCAGTGAGAATTGACTCTCCAGACCGCCGCGCCCCCCGGCGCCCTCACCTCTCCAAGCCGGTTGAGATTGACTTCCAGCCGGCCGCGCCCCTCCCGGCGCCCTCACCTCTCCAGCCAGTGAGAATTGACTTCCAGACCCCCCCCCCCCCCCCCGGCGCCCTCACCTCTCCAGCCGGTGAGATTGACTTCCAGACCGGCGCGCCCCCCCGGCGCCCTCACCTCTCCAGCCGGTGAGGTTGACTTCCAGACCGGCGCGCCCCCCCGGCGCCCTCACCTCTCCAGCCGGTGAGGTTGACGCGTATGTCGAGCGCCGTGGTGAAGCCGGTTTCGACGGTGCAGTTGCATACGTACGGGTAGGCCGTGACGGTGACGAGGTCCTCCAGCCAACCGGCCACTCCCGCTCCCGCTCCCCCGTCCGGTTGGTCTGCACGGCAGGCACCGGTGCGTTAGAGCTCTGCAGACTGTGAGCACGCGGCGCGGCCCGGCGAGCCGACGATGTCCCGTCAGTACTGCAGGTGCCGAGAGAACCCAGTCCGGCTCCGTTCCCCGCCACTGGCGCTAGGGCGTTTCGTTTTCTGCTTTGTTTTTGTTTTGTAAAAGGGAGCGCTACGCACGTAATCAGGTCGATAACAGACCGAGAGCATAGGCACGCACGCATGTCCACACAATATATATATATATATATATATATATATATATATATATATATATATATATATACATATTCGGTTCCAATCGAACACACCGATTTTCCAGATCAGGAATACCCAAACCCCACCACAACCGAAAATGCGTCGTAATGCTTTGCACGTCAGGTGCTGTAGTTGAAGACGCCCCCCCCCCCCCACCGTCCAACAATGTTAAGACTACAATTTACATGATGGAAAATGATTCTGTTTTCTTAATAATTACCATCGAATGACCCCCGCGTAAAATGCAAGACATTGACAACCGTCACCGATCTGTTTTCGGTGGCCAAATCTGAATCGTTAAACCGTCTGAAGCACCTGCATGCCTACGCCGCCGATTTGAAAACCTAAGACCCCTTTCCAACCACAGCATAATACAACAATGTGCACGCTCTCGAAAAGTACACTCGAATGCGAGGACCCCACACCAGCGCGCCGTAAGCACACAGGTGTCAGTCCCAGTCCGTCTGGCAGGCGACGCCAGCTCACCGGGGCATTTGCAGGATGGTCCGGAGGGTCCGTTGCACTGCAGGAGAGACGGCTCGCCGCTCGCGTTCGCCGGGCATCCTGCCAGACAGACCGAACCCGTCACCCAGCTTCAGATGGAACGCGTCACCCAGCTTCAGATAGAACGAGTTTCAGATGGAACGCGTCATCCAGCTTCAGATGGAACGCGTCACCCAGCTTAAGATGGAACACGTCGCACAGCTTCAGATGGAACGCGTCACCCAGCTTCAGGTGGAACGCGTCACCCAGCTTCGGATGGAACCCGTCTCACAGTTTCTGATGAAACGCGTCGCACAGCTTCCGATGGAACTCGTCGCACAGAATCAGATCGAACGCGTCACCCAGTTTCAGGTGGAACGCGTCACACAGCTGCAGAGGGGCTCCATTACATCGTCACACGCGGACGGACGTGAACATACTGTTACAAGCCAGCTCGCCACGTCGTTCACAAGCTACTATATGTGTCGCGGATGGAACACTAGTTCAGACTATCATCCTAGCCTGGCGTGTCAAGACCTACACGTTTGGGCCAGGTTAGCTCTCCCGCCAAGTCAGGTGTTATAAAGACCTGAATTCCGGAACAACCCGAATTTTCTCCTTGAAATTGCTGGGATTTGATCAAGGTTTTCTTGATTGATAGTCCAGTGGTCTACCAACTGAGCTTTTCGGGAAGAACGGCAATGACGCAAATACTTTATAGGATTTATCACACATGTGCGGGCCCAACAGGTCACGCAGTTACAAACGGATGCAGCGGCGACAGTTAAAGGCAGACTTGGCCTTGTGATAAAAGGCGGACCCGGTCACAAGCAAACAGATAGATCCGGTCGAATCATTACAATTGGACCAAGGTTTAAAATTACAGACGAACCTCGCCACATGGCTACATTCGAGGAGCCTGCTATCTGTTACAGACCCATAGCAGACAAACCTCGCCATAGAGATACAGACAGACCTGGTCTCCAACAGACACAGACCTCGCCTATGGTTACAGACAGGTATCATCACAATACAAGACTTCCATCAGTCACGCATGGGAGTTGTCAAAGCTTACAGGTGGACAGTCACAAAGTAACAGACTGACATGATCACAATGTTATGGTGGGCCGATTGACGCATAGCTACACATGGATCCAGTCACACAGAAAAACAATGACATCTGGTTCTAACCACACCTTCACGTGTGGCTCTCATGTACAACTGGATACCAAAGTGTGGTACTACTAAGTGGAACCACCGACACAAATTTAGCTGTTGAGGCTGCATGACTCGACAATGAGCACCAAGTTCAAAAGCACCATTTACACTTATTAGTATGTTTCAGAATAACACACTCTTGGAAAAGTAGGGGTGTTCAGAGCTACTCTGGTTTACTAAGTTCACCTCCAATTGGAGACCCAGACCAACCTTGAGCAGTCATGTCTTTTCATATAAGTGTAACTCTGGGACACCTTGACAAGCATGACCCAGTTAGGCCAATGATTTGGCGTTTTCTTTGCCCTGCCACAGTTCGTGAAACACATTGCGATACTACATGTTAAACGGCTTAGACACGCTGTGGCACTATCAAAGCCTACAATAAAGCATCATTCTATATATGAGATGCACATTGAATTTCTACTCTAGAAGAATCTAACTTTAGTTTACCTTTAGCAAAAATGCATCCTGTAGGTGGCAGACCTTCGGCAATCTGGGAAAATGCGAACTGTTACACAACGTTCTGAATGGATGATCACCGCATCCATCAATCGGTGAAATTCATGAAGCATAGTCAACCACCGTGAACACAAAAAAAAAAATACATAAATCGTAAAGATATGACGGCAGACTAATGCGATGCCCGGAAGAGAAACCAGCGATGGCATACACAACCCCACTCGGATAACAACGACAGGGGTTGGTGCCCATACCCCCCCCCCCCCCCCCCTCCGCCCCCCGTCAGCTTTCAGACGTTTCTTTCAAAATGTCGACAGTTTAAGGTTAAACTCAAGCCAGCTGATTTGGAGAGCTGGTCCTTTCAACCAGGAAGTTTTAATCCACCCTTGTCAGGATATCAAGACAGGCTCTAGTTTTTATGTCTGCATGTCGAAAACGTGAAAACTGGCACCCCACGACTCATTCTTGACAAAGTGGGCACAGGACATGTGAATTAGTGGTCCCAAAGGTATGAATGCCCTCCTGACAATGTATGCGCAGCATCATCATGTATGGAGGTCTCGAGATGATAATGTATTCTGCACACTGCATGCACATCATCCTGTTGCTTCCTCGCCTTGGAGGCGTTGCAAGGGAATGCCATATTGATCCTCGTCAACGCCTGTGGCATTTCAAACAGCCTTTCGAAATTGAATTTACTTCATATCACATTTCAGAGTGGCATGTCTGAGGGAACACATGCTCTTAAGAGCATTCATAAAGCCACTCTTAAATTGTAAAGCCTGAATGAAAGCCACCTTCGATGTAACTTGACATTATTTTGAACAACCTCGAAAGGAGCGCCTTCTGCTCCTGGTTCTTCGCCATTACGAGTTTAGAGTTCTCATGCTGAGTTAATAACCTTCAATACAGCAGAAGAAAATGGTAAAATAACGTTTAAGAGCTAAACAGCAATTACGCTGGCGCCACTCAATACTTCGTGCTAGCGCTCATCTCCGCTCTTGAGGATGGGCGCATTGAGCGACGGGCTCATTCACTTATTTCCGAGTATACATGCTTTAGACTGTCTGTCTGTCTGTCTGTCTGTTTGGTCGCACTTTTCCGTACGTACAACACGGACGGCTGCACTGATTGTCGTGAAATCTGGGCATACCATGGACTCAGCCTATATTACGATCTAAAATATAAATTCACGCCCTCCGGTGCCGTTGTCCGTGCTATATTACCGGCAAGGGCGCCAGTTTTTCGAGCAGCGAAGCAAGTGCACAAACAAATATTTTCCATCCAAAGTGCACAGAGCAGCGTTGCATTGGCCACGTGTCCGGAGTGATACATGTGCTAAATGGCTTACAAATGGTAGCTGGGATCCACAGTCATATCAGTGAGGTATGAGTCAACATAATGCCACAGGTGGTGGCACAACGGACGAAAACACAATAAGCCTTTTCACACAGGGAAGCAAGCATGAGCTGCTTGTTACTAACAAGGGAAAATTTACAAAAATGAGACAACCTGCAGTCAGGGAGACAAGTTTTATATAACTTGACCAACAATTACAGTTTGAATCAGACTTAATTAACATAGTCGATCTAGGACTATTCTGAAGGTCTTTGAAACTACAGCAAGTTTTAGCAATGTCATAGGCCTAAGCTCACAAGAAATCTGCTCCCAAGTTATCCTGAGTGAACTATGTGGCTGCAAAAGATGTACCACACTCATTTTTGTACCAAGTTTAACCAATTTTATGGCCACTCATTCACATAACTGCACCACTAGGCAACATGGGGAAAACAGTTAACATAAAAATCATTCTTCTGGCCTGTAGGATCCCATGACATACAACTGGTTTGGGAATACAAAAATGGACACAACAAAATCATTCCTTTGGCCTTTCAAAACCTGACAAAAGGTGGCTTGTTAACCCATGCATGCATGCATGCACACACACACAAACCTTCTCAGAGAGCAACTTGCATATTTGGGAAAAGGTACCACAGTGGTCTGTCCTTACTCACAAACCTGGTGGCTGCATGAAACTGCTGATTCACATCTTGGACAGAGACCAGAGAAGTCCACAATCTTCTTTACCTGTGGATGTAAGTCACTGAAATAACCCCCATACACAAAACTTGTCATCTAGACCAAACAGGCACAACCAGGATCATAGGAAAGAAAACTATCTGAACATGAAAAAAACATTTCAAAGAATGCTGCAGAAGGGTGCACAAAGAGCCTACATTCCCAAGATTGAAATGCTGCTAGAATGCCTTGCCTTTTCCAGTTCCCATATGAACCATGCTGTTCTCATATGAGCCATGCAGCATATCACAAACACACCCATTCAAAGAAAATTGTTTGCATGGATGTTTCCAAGATAGAGCTGCAACTTAATGCTGGCCATGGATTCATCGCTCTGGGATGGGAGGTGGGTCACAGTCACACAAAAGTCTTACTGTTTTGTCCTTACCTGGTTATCACAGCTCTTTTTCCACATAAATGGATCAGCACAACTGTGACAAGAATGCCCCCTTCCTGCCGGAACACACTGGAATATGCATAGAAAAAGAAGCAGCAGAGCCACATTGGACTGTCTGCTGCTTTGATGACCCATGCCAGCCATGCTTTTCAACAGCACAGCCCACAAACTGGGTGTTTTTTGTGCCATGGTGGTTTCATCCAGTTACTTGAAAAAAACAATGTCAGACTTGCCAGTGTTGTGGCATGTTTGCAAATACATGCATTTATGCAATTTGTGCCAGGTGCCTCATCCACATCCAATATCTGAAAACAACAGAGTACCTAAGTCATTTATCTGGCCATGCATCATATATCAGGAGTGTGTGTTCATACCAGCAGATGTATGCTCAAACCAGATGAACAATGTATCACTGTGGTAGTCACAGAGTCACATGCCCTACTCTGGAAACACACCTAGGTTTGGTGAAGGACCAATGCCCAATGAATGCCCATCATGTGAAAAGGGTTTCTAACGCCCAGGTGAATCGGTATTGCAGGCGTAGGCTTCGCACTCAGTTAAACGGTCCGTAATGGCAGATAAACCTGGAAGACAAACCTAACAATATTGATGCCAGCACATACACCGGACATCTACCCATTCCTGAACACCTCACCGCACCCCCACGCCGCTTACAATGCGAATGACGTTTCCCCTCCCACCCACCACCAAACAATTTCCCATCAAACCGGTGCATGCCATGCATGGACTTTACCATGAGTGGGGTTTTCGCATGCTCTGTATAGAAAGATGACGTCACTGGTGCTGAAATTTCCAGGCGGCGCGGCCGCTAGCCATGAGGCACAATGCAGCAGCGGGCAGCCGGTAGATCGGAAATCTCCGCACACACAATGAGCGAGCTGTTTTGGGAGGCGCATATGACCAGCGAGCCGATTGCATAGAATTTGATGGGTCGCATGATGGTGCACCTTGCAAGCCAGTGCCGCTAGCCATTAAAATTGTATGGCATTAAAGGTGAAAACGTACACACAAGAACTATACGTGATAGGACTGCCGGACTTCGAGCTCTTCCCGCGTCCATAATGAACAAGCTGTGAGCGGCAGGTGCATATGACCATCGAGCAAATCGCGTAGAATTTTAGTAAAATATGATGATATGCATTCTGAGCTTGTGCGGCCAACCATAACAATGAAATCAACGTGGAAATTGAACACGCTTGTGCGAGAACTGCTAGAGATGGGCGTGCCAGGGCAGCGGGCTGCCTTCGCACTAATAATGAACAGCCTGTTGAAGATAGGGGCATGTTATCAGTGAGGCGAATGGGTATAACTTGATGCGGAGTATGGTGCTGTGCCATTGCAAGTTTACATGCCTGACGCCAAAAGCAAAAGCACGAACGCACGGACTGTTAAAGATAGGCAACCCAAGCATGGGGGTGCCTTTTTGCTTCTTACAAGCAGAGTATTACTGGCACACAAACACACCCAATCACTTCCTTATACATACATATGTCCATCTATCTATCTATCTATCTATCTATCGATCTATCGATCTATCTATCTATCTATCTATCTATCTATCTATCGATCGGGGATTCGATCCGTCCCGTCTCCGTCACGTCCGTCCGTCCGTCGGCCGTCAGTCAGCACATCTCGACACACCTCTCTCTATTCTCTCTCCTTCTCTCTCCTCTCTCTCTCTCTCTCTCTCTCTCTCTCTCTCTCTCTCTCTCTCTCTCTCTCTCTCTCTCTTCTCTCTCTCTCTCTCTTATCTCTCTCTCTCCTCTCTCTCTCCTCTCTCTCCTCTCTCTTCTCTCTCTCTCTCTCTCTTCTTCTCTCTCTCCTCTCTCTCTCTCTCTCTCTCTCTCCTCTCTCTCTCTCTCTCTCTCTCTATCTCTCTCTCTCTTCTCTCTTCTCTCTCTCTCTATCTCTCTCTCTCTCTCTCTCTCTCTCTCTCTCTCTCTCTCTCTCTCTCTCTTCTCTCTCTCTCTCTCTATCTCTCTCTCTCTCTCTCTCTATCTCTCTATCTCTTCTCCTCTTCTCTCTCTCTTCTCTCTCTCTCTCTCTCTCTCTCTTCTTCTCTCTCTCTATATCTCTCTCTTCTATCTCTCTCTCTCTTCTCTCTCTCCTCTCTCTCTCTCTCTCTATCTCTCTCTCTCTCTCTTCCTCTCTCTCTCTCTCTCTCTCGTCTCTCTCTCCTCTCTCTCTCTCTCTCTCTCCTTCTCCTCTCTCTCTCTAGCTCTCTCTCTTCTCTACTCTCTCTCTCTATCTTCTTCTCTCTCTCTTCTCTCTCTCTCTCTCTCTCTCCGCTCTCTCTCTTCTCTTCTCTCTCTGGGTGTGTGGTGTGTGTGGTGTGTGTGTGTGTGATGTGTGTGTGTGTGTGTGTGTGGTGTGTGTGTGTGTGTGTGTGTGTGTGTGTGTGTGTGTGTGTGTGTGTGTGTGTGTGTGTGTGTGTGTGTGTGTGTGTGTGTGTGTGTGTGTGTGTGTGTGTGTGTGTGTGTGTGTGTGTGTGTGTGTGTGTGTGTGTGTGTGTGTGTGTGTGTGTGTTTCTCCGCGAATCGAATAGATGAGGTAGAATGAAGTGGCAAGCATGATTAGGTACGTTCTGCTAGCATATATTTAGCAAAACCAGCAAACATTCTACACTGAGTATTGGTCGTAAATTTGTTTTTTTGCGATGTCAAGTTGTGCAGGGTTACGGGGGCTATATCCAACAAGGAAAGGCCATCTTTTGTTACGAGACACAAATGATCAGGTTCACACGGGTGCGCGTGCTGCCCATGAGAATTCACACACATGTCAATCATGGAGACCACATCATCACAGATTTTCAGTGGTGATAGCCAGAAGAACTATGGCCAGAAATGGAGTGGATGTAGTTATTGGGGCACAATGCCAGATTATATATCATATACAACACACAGAGATTTATAAGTTGCACAGTTAAGGTTGTTCCTGCCAAGACAAACGGTTTCACAGTTACACATCGTGCTCTGTACACCAGTTCGATTATCTATCATTCTACCCACATGCCACTTGGGCGTTAAGCATAAAAGCGCACATAAACGTCCGAAGAACGCAACATACGTGGCACGACACTGACAGTGACTGTGCAGAGAGGAAGCGATCACTCTTGGTCAAGCGTATAGGCACGGACCAAGCAAGGTCGGCCCCGCAGACAGGTGCAGACTGAGTACGCTGGAATGTAGGCAGGTACGGACCGAGCAAGGTCGGCCCCGCAGACAGGTGCAGACCGAGTACGCTGGAATGTAGGCAGGTACGGACCTGAGCACGGCCGGCCCCGCACACAGATACAGGCCGAGTACGGCCAAATGTAGACAGGCACAGAACGAGAACGGCGACTGTGCATGCAGGTACTTACCGAGCACTGCGACATGTGGATATAAGGCGCGACCCGAGTACTGCAGTTACGTGAAGAAGTGCGGAACCAGCACGGTCGCCCCCATAGACAGGTACGGATCGAGCATGGTCGTTGTACGGACAGGTGCAGGGGGCCTTGAGGTCTCTGGCCTCCTATTTTGAACAGCCCAGCATAATACAATTACGAAGGCGGTGCTAAACAGATTCAGGGAAAGGCCGGAAACATAAGGGAAACAGCGGCAATCACAAACTGAGCACAACATACAGTGGTTTTAGGTTAGAACACATCCTGGCGCACCGAAGAGAACCCAAAGTTGAGACGCATATGAAATAACTGGGTGTCCTCAGAGCCGCCAATTCTGATGAAGCACGTCCGCTATCATTCAACATCTACCTTTGATATCGCCCCACACCACCATCCCCCAAACTCCTTCAAAAAACAACATAATATTCATACAGTATATGTGATTTATATGGCCTTGACTATACCGTTTGACTACAGCTGCGGGTATATACGGCTACAGCTATGCGGCTTGTACAGCCTGACTTAGACGAACTACCATACAGCCCTGAATCACACCAACAGCAGTAGCCCGACCACGGGGTGCGAGGCTGCACTAGATCAAAGTGCAGTGCAATGGCTTGCCGCTTAAGGGGAGTGTTGCACATTTGTATGGGATTTGAACTGAAAAGGCCATCTTCAAGATCATTCAGTGCATTTCATAGCCCTGCTCCTCTCTTAAGACCTAATGCCCTCTAGTGTCTGAGCAGCACGCCCCGCGGTGACGCCCGACGACTATTTCGTGCAAACTATTGCATGATTACCCAGGTATCGATGATGCCATAATAGCATTATTAAAATCCTGCCTCTGCACTGACCATGTGGCGCTCAAGGTAAAGAGAAATGTGATTGTCGAGCCGTTCATATCTGACGCTCGCGAGCACGATTTCCAAATATAACAATCGTCAATTGGCTCTCAACCAAAATTGTGCGAGCAATGCACGGTTTTAATACAAATACGTGTTTTTTTTGCTATATTACATAATAGGTTATATATTCTTCTACCTATTACGGAAATAAGATCTTTGATCCAATAACTCAAGGTAAGCGATATAACCAAGTATGTCAATACAAGCTAGCAGGATAAACTCAAGGATTAACATGAAAGAACACTGCGATAAAGGGCAAAGCTCGAGCGTCTCAGCTATATTGGTGGGACACACATCCAGCAACGCCGTGGACCACCCCTCGAAAGATGAAAAAGATACAAATGATCCATGACTCAATCAACCGATGACATAATGAGGAGAATATTCACTAGAAAATTGTGTTTTCTAACGCAGTCTTTTTCAACTAAACGCATACCAATAGTAGCGAACTTACTTCACCACATCTGGTGCCTGCTTCAATATGTTCAACTGTGGAACATTTTATTCAAAGCCCTTGTACGATCGAGAATGTCCCGGACAAGAGCATAAGGTTTCTCCACGCGAATACGAAGTGCCCAACATTTTTGCGGCGAACCGCTTTGCGATCAAGGGTGCTCGAGTAGGCTAACAAAAAGAGCCCCGAGAAAAGTGAAGATTCCTCCGGAATTGAGATAAGGGAATAGCCCAGGACCAATGTGTAGGAGCCCCCAGAAGCAAGTGCACCGGCGCACTAACGCATATGGGCCCAACCAACAGCGTAGATTCTCTCGAGTAATAGGAAACAACTCGAGACCAATGTGATGAGCCCCTAGGCAGCTGAGAGTTCCCTGGCAAGTTAGCGCATGGTCCCGCGGCAATAGCATGTAGGGCCTTTCAGACGAATGGGAATAGCCCGTGAAGGGCCCCTAATCGATGAAGAGTGCCCCGGCATGTTAGCAGATAAGGCCCCAACAAAAGTGTAAGGCCCTCCGAGCAAATGTAAATAAATCAAAGGCAGCAGAAAGAGACTTTTTAGCAATCTGATTTACTCCACAAGTGGCGATATAGGGCCCCTGTCAACATTGTAGGTTCTCTAGACAGCGCAATGGGCTTCAAAATCTGCCCAATCTCCACCTCTCATTCAGCGAATAATTAGCTT